TCTCCATGGTTTATTTTAGAAATTTCAAAAATCCTTCTAAGTAAGAACTGCTTTACATACATATATTTATGTCAACTACTTTAATGCTCTATTTTAGTTCATCCAGAAGATATACTTTCCTTACAGCCTTCATTTCCTTGCTAAGAACATACTCAGTACACACCTTCTTCTTGTGGAAGAAATGAGGGTACCAGACTTCTCTATCCTGCATGTGTAATCCAGGAATTGTTCTTCCCCTGCAGATAGCAATAACTGGTAGTAGTGATTTGGTTTTCTTGGAAAAATAACAACTCTAATAGCTCTCTATCAAGGCTGTTAAGAGCAAGGCTTTTATTCTCCAAACATTTTGCTTTTTCCTACCTTTGTATAATTATCCACATAGTCAGATCAATTTATTACCCCATGCATAAGCACACTCACTCTCGTTTTCCTTTCCTTTGGGACCTTTACATTAAGATGATAGCTCAGACTGCTCAAACAGCCCAGTTACAAATGCCCTTTGATCAAATGATGACTCAAGGAGACTCAAAGATTACTTCTGCAGGGAAAGTCAAGGCAAATTGATCAGTGCTGTCACTGGAGAGCAACAGCTCCTGAAGGACTAGATTTTAAATGCATTATCTTTAATGTAATAAGAGGAGCATTTAATTTAATTTTAAAATGCCTTGCAATATTTGTTAGTGTTATAATTTCAGGTGTTGCAGGGACAAAAGTTAATCACACTGACTAGACAAACACTAATTTGTTTAATTAAGGCTACTCGGCTTTCTTTGTGTAATATTTTTCCAACTTGGTCTGCCCATACATTATTTTTGAAATAGTAGAAGCCCAGATGTAAATAATCTTTCATGGTAGAGCTGCTGAGCCTAATGAGGTATGAGGGAGAAACTAAAGAAACTGAAGGAAAGTAAAGAAACTGAAGAATAGAAAGATCTTTTTCTTACCACCTCATGACACATTTTAGATTTAAATGAGAGGATAATAAACATGTCCATGGCATGGATTTTCCAGAAATAGATAATAATCCACTCATGGATTACCCAGGCAGCATGAGTGAAATTTTGGTTTGCTGCCTAGACTCTGCTCCCAGAGCCAGTGATTAGGGGGAGCTTGCAGCCTTCTGCTGTTTTCCTGTGTTGGCTTTGCCCTTTCATAGGAAGGGGGTGAGTTGCAGCAGTGATGGTGGGGAAGGTCTCCAGAGCCCTTCCCTTGCCAGACTGCAGGAGGGGTATGCTAAGGGAACAGGCTGAGAGCACTTAAACCCCCCCAAAGCTGCCCAGGCCGAGAGCCCCACACCCACACAGGACACACGACACAAATTCCCACAGCTTTTATCAGGCTGGTGCCAGGCAGGCTGTGAATGCTTGGACTGAGCCAAAACCAAACACTTCCTCTACTCTTAGGTATTCCCATAGGCTCTAGAGAGCAAGTTAGCATCAAGCTGGCTCTTCCTTATGACTTTAATTTCTGTGACAGAGATTCATTATCCTTCTGGTTTAGCCACCCTTGGATGATGGCATTAAAGTAAAAGAGAAATTTAGAAACCAGTGAAAAGAGGACACCTGAATTTAAATAGCTATAAGGCAGAGCAGAGCAGGGAAGGAAAAATAGGGAAAGGATGTCTTAAAAAGTGGAGTTCTGAAGTGAAAGACAGTGAGTAAGATTAATGCTATTTTTAAGGATCCTCCAGTGGTTTTTTTTCCCCATGTAACAGTCCACAGGCATTTTCCATTTAAAACCTTTAAAATGGAAAGAGATGGGGTCTGAAGAGCTTCTGTACTTTCCAGATATCACAGGACATTAGACATAAATCAGGAACCAACCACAACCTGGAGAAAAGATCATAATAGTTATAGAGGAGAATCAGGATTGCACAAAGGAAAATATGAATCAAACAACAGAGTCCTGACCAACAAAGCCAGGCCAGCTAGCTGTGAAGCAGGTGAGGACACAACTTCCCTGCCCACCTCTAGGATATGTGGTTCCCTAGAAAAATCATTTGCCCCTGTGTTCTGTCTTTCAGTGCAAGAACTTGGTGTCCCCTTGTGCACATGTAAAACCAGAATAAGCACTGGGAACTTTGCAGGGTGGTTTTAGATTTACAGTTGTTATATAAAAGAAAAATCTGTGTGACTTTTCTCTGCCCATATTTTTCATTTTTCAAGTGAATTTTTTTTTTCAAGAAACTTCACTGTCAGTAATCTACTTGTAGTACTCTGGCATTAAACAAGTTCTACAGCAAGGAAGTTTTGTTTAGAGCCAGCCTTTACTCTTTTCTTATTTACTCTCTGTGAAAGCTACACTGCACCCCACAAGAACCAGACTTAAACACAGTAAATCTTAGTGAAAAAATGTCAGTTAAATAAAGCATTTATTCACTAGCATAGCATTATCAAACCATTGGCAAGACCCAAGATTTAAGAGATCAATGTAAATATTTTCTGGTATTCCTACGTCTGCTTCCCTGTAATAATGTTGTGTTTGAAAGTTTTCTCTTCAGCAGCATGGGCACAGAAGCAGCTCTTTTTTCCAGGGTGTCAGTCCTTGTTCCACCGCTGCTCACCTTCACACCAGTCATCTTCTCAGTCAAGCAGAAAAGTGCAAATGGAAGTAACGCTTCAAGTCAAGAAAATAATAAAAAGAAAGTTCCCTGAACATGACAATTTGGATAAAAGCATTTCTGTGCATCCTCCCTCTTTGTTACAGAAACAAGAAAGAGAACGTGTTTTATCTGCTTTTCATTCAGAGCTCCAGCTGTGGGTACAGCTGTGAGAGCTGCTCCCAGAAAAAGCACTTGCACAGGATGAAGAGCAGAAAAGGTATAATTTTTAGATAAATTCCTAAAAATGCAGAATCAGACTCTGGTATATGTGGAGTACTAGTGCCCCAAGTATAGCTGATTTCCAAGAAATGTTTAGTCCACTCCCAAAATCTGCTACTGTTTGATCTGATGGGGTTTTTTTCTGATTCACCTAAATGTAGCTCTAAAATTTTCTCAGGAATCTCAACTATAATGGGTCTCTTCTGTCAAAAAGCACTAAAAACGTTCAACCTGAATTTGTACTTGGGGTCACTGAGATGGAAAAAACATAGACTACCCCAATTTGCTTGGGTTTTATTATAGGTTTGTAGCTAGTCATGCCACTCACTTGACTTGCAATACTGTTTCCTTTCACCACACACACAGTTTGAGTAATGAAAAAGGGATTCAATCTTCCTATTTCAGACAGCTGCATAATACTATGAGAAAATCTAGTTTGCATAAAAAAAATAAAAAGGCAGGTTTTCACTAATTTTTCTTCAAGATTTCATTAAATTAGACAAGAGCAGCTGCATTTACAAACTGTCCCTTTCCCAGAGCAATCACTCCAGACCAGTCTCTGGACTTGCAGCTCAGCACCATGATCATTTTGAATAAACTGATTTTAAGGCTTCTCTTCTTGGGTTGGAAGGAAAACAAAAAGAAATAACTTACATAAGCAACCATTTTTTCTCCCTTTTAAATTCAATAAAGCATCTTAACTCTTAACCCTGATCTTTTGTGAATGTCTTGTATGTCATGTCACAGAAAAAAAAAGGTGAAAAAACATTCACTCTGTACTTGGCAGGCCACTCTGTGTTCTGCAGGCACAGGCAATAAGCAACAAGGTTGTAGGATTTATTTGTAATAATCCTGGTTCCACACCATTACCCACCAAAAAACCCTCTCCCCAGAAAACCCCAAACAACACAAAATGCTATCTGAAGTCTATATTTCATGAACTCAAAGCAAGTACATTGCACCTGATAAGCTGAAAGGAGAACCAGAGGAAATGATTTCTGGAGGCTGGTGATTTACAGGTGAGCAGCAGCAAGGCAGCTCCAGGGAGTGGAAACGAGAAATGCATTGAGGACTTTGAGACAGAGAAACTGAAGGGTAAGGAGAGGAAAACAGGACATCTCCTCACTGGGAGCAGACAGAATCTCAGCCACTGTGGTCTCCTGTGTGCCAGTGGGAAAAGATCTTGTCAGAGAGAAGCAACAAGACCTCAAGGTGTATAAATTTCTGGCCTCAAGTTGGTCACAAAGTCCCTCCACAGCCTGAAGCAAGTCACTCCAGAGGAGGAGAGCAGCACAGGTTCAAATGACACCTTGGCAGAAAGCCTAAAAAATTCCCACTGGAACATTTCTCCTGCTTCTTATGGAAAGTTTTCAGAATTTCCAAGTTAGCTGATTATGACTTATTGTCCCCATCACAAACCTGCTCAGTGCCACCAGGTCACCGCAGCTGGCAGTGCCATGGGGTACTTTGGAAAAATAAGACTGATGGCAGCAGCAGGGGCAGGAGAGAAATCTGAACCAGAGTAAAAGCAGAGCTCATTTAAGTCTCTCTTGCACTGTGCTGCAAAAGCTTGGGAGGGAAGAAGAGAAGGGGTAGTGGTTTAAACTTATATCAATTTATATTTAATAGAAGGAATAATTTTTTTCATAGTGAGTGGTAAAAGAGTGGCACCTGGAGAGGTGATGGGTGCTGCATCCCTGGGAGCATTCAGGGTCAGGTTGGACATGGATCTGAGCAAGCTGATTGAGTTGGAGATGTCCCAAGGTGAGGTCATTTCCAACCCAAGCTATTCTATGACTGCATGATTAATTTTTCCTCAGAAGAATGTAGGGTGGGCTGAACCTACAGAGGTCAGGTTGGAGGAGGAACCTAAACAGAGCTCTTCCTAAATAAAGGTATGGTATGGTTTAAAAAAAAACAAAAATAAAAACAAAACCAGAAAGTTGTGGGACAGAGGGAACAGTGGGAAAGGATTTTAAGACTGTCCCAGGCAAGTAAAATATTCCTTCAGTATTGTACCATACCCAAATTTTTCTGTACTGCACTCTCTTTGGCTTTTGGAATCAGTTACAGTTTAGGGTTAAAAGCAGAACATCTGCTGAAGATTTTTCCCCTTGCTTTACACACATTTTCTACCACAACAGCATGAAGATTTAGGATGCTTGATGTTTATTCCAGCTTTAATTTTCTTCACAAATTCTTCATCTCTGTGGCAAATTAAAGGAGCAGATGCATCCCTGGGAAGGTTTCCAGACTGATTTTGAAGAAAGTGAGACATCCAATACTTGCTGAGCTGAGCTGGGGTTTCTGATCAATGGTAATACCACACACAGGATTAAAGAGGAGCTTGCAGTAAATAACTGATGAGTAGAGTAGCATTGCATGCTTAGGGTGCAGATGGTTTTTGTACCTCCCCATGGACTGCTGCTGAAGATATAAACTGCTGATCCCCATCTAAATTATCACTCAGATCATCTATATTGCCTTATCTTTTTATGCAGCTGGATACTCTCCTTTATTATATGGGTAAGAGATGAAAGCCCTTCCAAAACACAAATACACATGTAAATGTTGTATATACAATATTATTAAACTACAGTGTTACAATCCAAAGTGTTTTCTACAAAGACATGACTGATTTCAGATTTATGGCATGCAAATAACAAATCCCAATAATTCCTCTCTGCTTCCCTGGGCACTGCAAATAAAAAGGAAAATATCAGCTCTTAATTTTACTTTTAGTGCAGGTCCAAACTAAGTGTTGGAGAGCATTTCAAACACTGTAATATTCATCTATTCAGCTTATTGTATGTGAACTCCCACTGATTTTCTTGAGGTAATAAGCATAAATAATGCATTTGAGAAAATTCAGTTACAAAATTAAACTGATCATTGTTCATCTGATGAAATAAATTCTATCCCTTAAGCACAGGCAAACAAGAGGTTTGGGAGTGTGGTTTAATCTCAGAGGGGCTATGTGAAAGCTCATTGAGATGGTACAGTTTTTCTGCATAATCATGGTTTTCACAACAAAGCTGAGTTTTGTTGGGTACATCAGGTAGAACTATAAATACACGCTTCCAATGCTACTAAATGACCATTTAACTAAAAAACATCATTTTTCAATAAGAAGCCAAAACCCCTGTTATTTCTAATACCAGAAATCTCTTACTTCAGCGGCCAGTTGCCATTTTCACTACATGAATCCTTGCCATTTCTCAGAAAAAGATATTTCTTGATAAGACTGTTTTGGTTTTAATCATGTGGACAAAGCCTGAGGGGAAATTGTAATATAAGTTGTAATTCACTCATTGCATTTCAGCTCTAGAATTTGTTCTGGTGTGAGATTGTCCAAGAGGGCTTTTGTTTCATCATCTAAACTTTATATTTCCCTTAGTATGGAGTAAAGAGACATTTTTTGTTGCCCTTGTTGAAGTTACTATTCCTGTGTTAAGATCAAAATTGCAAATATGAAAAGAATGGTTCCATTTATAATAGATGAAACAAAATAAATTTATATGAATTATTATGTTTGAAATGTGTATTTGTTTTCTCAGAAGTACAGTTCATTACACAATCTGAAGCAGGAATACTGAACTGCATAGTTAGGACCTTCAGTAGAGCCCTAAAGGCCAGAATTTACAGTTCTACCATGTGCTACTGTATTAAAAAAAATAAATTTAAAATGCTGCAGTTTCATTAGGAAAAAGGAGAAGAGATTACCAGGTTCTTGTGCACTGCACTTACACCCAGAAAGTGCAATTCACACCCAGGGAAACACTTTCAGTGCTGGCTTTTGGAAAGAACTATCTGATGAATTCAATGTGTAGAAGTGAGAGCTCTCATACCTTCTGAGGAGAGCTCTGCTGATCATGGAATTGGAGATCTATAATTTAATGTAAAATGTAATTTCAATATAACCAGCTTTAAGCAGTTTTTCCATTTTTACTTTCCTCTTGCACCCACTTTTTCATTTGGCTTCTGAACTGACACCTCTGGCTAGCCCTGGAAGGGGGAGAGTATAAGGTGGGGATGGAGGAGAAGCAGGACACAGCACAGCCAGGACATCCCATCACTTTTGTGACACACACTGATGCCAAGATGGAAAAAAATCTATGCAGTAATAAATCTCTATGTGTCTTGTCAGCTCTAAAACACTTAAAACATCCACTGCCATTGCCACACTGTACTGCAGGGCTTGGGATATTCAAGGGAACGTGAGTGTTAGAATGAAATTAAAGTATCCTCATGTAGATCATTTTATGCATTATTTGAGGGAAAACTTAATGAAGGGCTTTCTATCACTGCAGAAGACCGGGAGGTACTTTCAGAAGTGCACTTCATCTCTGAGCTCATGTACTGAGCCCCAGAATCAGATGTTTTACGAGATTAGCACTAAGTGACTATACTTACCTTCATCTTAGTGGCATTCCTAATGGGATTGCAACTCTTTGCCAGGTGCTGGTGAAGCTGCCCTCCCGTGTGTGTCACCCCGAGGGCACCCTGGCTCTGGGGACACTGTCTCACTCTACCTTCTCCTGTGCTGCACCAAGGAGTCACTGCCTTTCCCAGAGCTCAGCCATCTGCTCTCCCACTGCTCCAGCAGCAGTGGAAAATTCCTTTTTGTCTGAAAGAGGAACTGCATGGTAAATCTCAGTGACAGGATCAAGAAACATCTTAAACCAAATTAGCAAGAAGCGAAGCAGAGTGAACAAGTTATAAATTCTATTATCCATTCTAAGTGTCCCTCTGGTCTCAAATCTTGCTCTTTGCTTTTAATCTTACAAAATAATAGTTTGTGCTATTAGTTTCCTAAGGCTTCTTCTGCTCCTTTTAGGAGGAGAAATTCAGAAGCAGTGGAATTGTGAGGAGTGGTGTCTCCAGCCAGATACAGTGGTGTGACCTATTCCAAACTGCAGTACAGCCCTCAACATTGAAATTATTTGCAGAAATCAATCAATTAAATACAGTTACCAACCCTGGGTAGCAATTTCTTCCAGAAAACACACACCCACCTGTCAGGAGATGGATATCAAGTCCTTTGCAAACCTAGAGGAACAAAAACATGAACCCACTAATGAGTTACAGCTCTTTCAAACATGTGTGATTTTACTTCTACTTGCTGCAGGACCTCTTCCTTTCCTCCCTTCCTCTAACTATTTTTCCTCCTTAATTTGCTAGACACAAACCTCCTTCCCAATAGATTCCCACAGATTCAATGATAATGTGATGACACAAAAACTTCATTTGCAATCACTGCTCAACACCCAACCATCAACACAACAGGAGGACAGTGTAACACAATGAAATCCATGATAATTAATCAGATCTGGTAATCTGATCCTTCACTGCCATCCTGAACACAAGATAGGATGAGTTTCTTCCTGTTCTGGGACTGCAGAGGGAATTGTCTCTTATGTGTCTAACTCAAGCATTACTGCAACAAGAATAATGTTGGAAAGATTGAAAGATACTTCTTGTCACTTGAGCTTAACTTGTACTTTCTCAGCAGCTATATAAAGGCATCAAAGACACTTTGTTCATGAAAACAATAATCCCAAACTGCATCTACCAGTGTATTTGAAATTATTTTCTGTTCAGCCTGAAATCCTAACTTTTAAAGGGTGTATTCAGGACTCTCCCTAATGTTCTCCAAGCTATAAAGTCTAAAGACTTGATAACTCAAAGGGAAGATTCTTGGAAATCTGAGGAACACAAAAATGGTGTTACACAGACAAAATTTTCCATCTTAAATCGATGATGGAAAATGCCCACCTCCCTTTTGTTATCCTAATTGTCAGGCTGTACAGTTGTGGATAGTGGCAGGAATAATAGGCACAACCAGCAGGATTTTCCTCTTAAGGATCAACCTGTTTCTTCCCCAAAAGGCATCCAACCATTTCTGCTCGCAGTACAGAGCTATGCCAAGTTTGGGAGTAAACATTATAAGTAGAGATAGCTTAGTAAGACTTGGAAATAACTTTAAAGAAACACTTTACAATTAATATGAGATGGAAGATGAAGCAAGAGCAGCCTTGTGAGAGGGGAAGCTTTTGGCCTGGATCAGAGGAAGGAGTTAGGGAGCTGCAGTGCTACATCTAACTAAGGCAAATCTACAAAAACAGCATCTCCAGATTGCACAATGTGACACTGCTCAGCATTGTTTATAAGGAACTTTGTCTTTAAGATCAGTTTCCTGATATCCACAGGTCAGCTAAGCCCAATTACTGAGACAGTGAATTAATCTCCTTATGGACTATTTGCCTTCCTTAAAAATTGCCTTGGAATTTAATGTTTAAGACAAGATTTCTCTTTCCAGAAACACCCACCCACCCACCACACACTGAGTTTGCCAACAATTAACCAGACAATCTGTCTGTAAAATAGCTAAATATGTTCTAAAGAAAAAAACTCTTTCTATTTAAACAAAAAAAAAATTACAAATCTAACCAGTGTGATTTTTTTGCCGTGTACCATTTTTTTGCAGACAACATGGCCTATGTCTTGTGTGTACCAATTACATTGGTACCAATTAAAGTTGTGGTTAAGACCCAACAGCAAAGAGCTTGATCTCACAGTCTCCCTTATATCTTCTTTAAATTAATGTTCTTTTCAAAAGTTGTTCAGCCTTGCTGAACAACCTCGTGCTTCTGTTGATAGCAACCTGAAATTTGAGCTTCCAAATACAGACCTGTGGCTTTTTTATCTGTCCATTCACTTTGGTGTGAATCTTCCAAATATTAAATTTCAAGAACAGATTAAAATTAATTAATAAAATTAAAATTAAATTCCATCTCATCAGCCATCATGCAAACTGAGCCAAGACCTTTCTCTCAATGCATTCTGCATTACAGATTTCATCTGCAACAGAGTTACAGGGAAAGCAGCTTATGGATCCACACCAGATTCCAGGAGGTATGGCCACACAGGACAGTGTTTGCAGAATACAAATATCTTTACATCTTACTGTAAACTTGTCATCATGACTGCTCTATTTTGGATTTTTCTTGCATTTAATTTCTTCAGCTTATTTTTTTTTGACATTTGCACTTCTTTAAACTATGCCTGAATAAATCTTCATGCCCTTTCCACTTGCTATAATTAATCACCTTCACTAAAAAAACTGCAGAAGAGAGCTTGAAAGTATTGGAAAATCTTCTAAACGAGACATTTTGTGAATACCAAAGTTTGAAAGAAAAAGCAACAAACTAAAAGAAGCCAGAGCTGAGCATGTTTGCAATTCTGTGCTGTAGATAGCCCTGGGATGAAGGGCTTGGTCTCTTGAGGTGTTGAGTGTGTTGGCCATAAATCAGCATTTCATAGCCTCAGGGTTAAGCAGATAAACAGCCACAGAGTTCAGTCTCACTTGTCCCCAAACAGTTGCTCAGGAAGTGAGGTGGATTGGAATGAGATTACAAAATTGTTATGCACTTCAGCAGTACTAACTCAAATTATTGTTAAAAAGAACGTAAAGCAATGATCATCATTTTTTAACAGTTCTCAGATTTGTAATGGCACAAAAATCAGCCTAAACTTTCTAACATACAAAGTGTATCATTTTTCAGCTTGGACACCTCAGAGTTTCTTCAATTAAAATTCATTTCAATGTTTATTTCAATTCCTGAATTATTGACAAGTGTTGTATTCAAAGAATTTTTTACTTCTGCAGCAGCATATGTGCACAAATCTGCAAGACAGATGATGCCTGCAACATTGCCAAGCAGAATTTTGACTGGTACAGCATGTTTTATTTTTGAAGACTGAAATGTACTGGTCTAAGAGAAGATCAGTTCCAAAATTCAGGATAACATCACATATTAATGATCCATCATAGCATACCATGGATGCTTTATTTTTCACCTTTCTCCCTCCATGTGATATCTACATGGTTAAAAAAACAGTGAAAAAAAAAATGCAAGCTGAGGATTGTGTAGTTTGACAAGTTTTTATGACTTCTCCCACTGAAATTTACATACAAATGTTTCCATGACTTTTTTATTAAATTGAGAAAATTAATTCACATTTTCCTAGGAAATACAATATTTTTGGAAAACATGACCCCAAAGAAAGGGAAAAAAGAAAACCCCACTATTAAAGTTATATAATCAAAATTACATTTGGAATGCAATTTTCATTTCTGTAGTTTACCCTACCTGAAAGTCAGGTCTTACATGTCGTGAGCACAGGCAACACAAGCAACAAGAGATGTAAATTCACTACCAAGCAAAGGTTTCCATTAAGGTACCTAAATTCTGAATGAAGCCAATCCACACATCCTTGGAGCAGGGAATTTTTATACAAATCTCAGAGTGAAATGGTGGGAAAGCAGTGAGGCAAAAGCTGTCCAGCCCCAGTTTGATCTATTTCAGAAAACTTAAACGCTTTAGGTTAGTCAGATACCTTTTACCAGTTACCTTCATGTAACATTTCTTGTCTCAGTTGCTTGGATTTCCTTTTAAGCCCTGTTTATGTTACATTTAAGCTGTTTAAACATCATCCAGGTGTGAAAGCTGTTCTGTTATTGTTACAAACCATTTAAAATGAGCCAGCCTGAGCCAGCAGGGCTGGGTGTCCAGGTGGGCACAGCAAATCTTTTACTCATCTCACTCTGCACTCAGCAAAGGGAGTCCCTGGAGCTGCCCACTGATCCCACCCTGAGCCAGGATTCCTGCTCCGAGGCTCAGTCAGGAAAACACATTATCCTGGGGCAGCAGAGCTGTGGTAACTGTGTGTGGCTTCCACCAAATCCATTCAGGGTTCTCATTTACATCACCCAGACCCTCCCCAAATACTGCTGGAGTCACACACCAGAAGTATTTGCTTTACACCAGTGCCTGCTTCCCAGTGCCCCCACCAAAACAGCCTCCAGTATAAAGCATAATAGTCTCATTCTCCATGAAAGAAAAAGCGTTCCTTAGTCTAATCAGCTCTCAGCTGATGCAAACCAGAGAAATCCCTCTGAAGCCAGGGGAGATGAGTGACCTCACACCACCTCCACCTCCACTGGAGGACCCCACACTGAGCACTGCCCTGCCTCTGATTACCTGCTGCCCCACAGCTGCAGCATCCTGCTGGGGGTTTTTTTGTTTGGTTTTGTTTTGCTTGTGGCTTTTTTTTTGTTTGGATCTAGTTTGGTTTTGTAAAGATAGTGTTTCTCTTTTCATCCTCATGCCTGAAGAAATTAAAAATTTCTCAGCTAGGTGCAAAACACACTGATTTGCTTAATGTTTGTGCCAGCTCCATCCTACCAAGATCCATGCAAAGCATGTGGGAAGGAGAAAGCTCTAGTGGAGAAATGAGCAACTTCCATATTGATTGAATGTGTGTCACAATCCTTAAAGAGATTGCTCATCACTTTGCTTGTACTTGAACACCCAAATCCTTTAAAACTTCCACAATCTAGATTTATATGTGTCCTGATTATGTTCTCAAGTTCTGAGAAAGAAATCTAGTTTGATGAATTTTAGCTCAACTTGAAGATTTCAAGAGGTTTGATGCATTATCAGCACCTTGATCTCCTCTGTCTTTGATGCCAGTAGGAGGCAGAAAGGTTTAAGTAGCCAGAGGTACTTGATTTCTGCAGAGCATGCCCCACTAATGTGCCCATCTCACAGGCAGAGCAGTGAAACTCCATTACCATCTGTGCACATTGCTTTAGGAACGTGGGGTGGAAGTGCCTTTGATCAAAAATACAGTCAGAGTAGGATTTTCAAAATATTCAATTCCCACTGAAATCCAAACTCTACCCACTAGCTTTAGAGAAAATAGATTTAGGCCAGAACTGAACACCTTTGAAAATCCAAACCTGAAGTAGAGGAACCCCATGTGGTCACCACTCTCTAAAGGAAAAAGATGCAGGTAAACCAGGTCTGACTGAATGTGGAACTTACTGGAATTTACCTAAAACCATGCTTGAATCTTTGCTGATATCCAACAGTTTGTTTTCAACTAATTTGTGATTTTTCCTTACTTCCCAAACCATGAGTTCTGGGAGCAGCTGGGAGTTGGACTGTCATAAGTGTTGTTTCCATAGCATTTCCAGTCTGACTGGAAGCCAAAAACATTAGAAAGCTCATGAGACAACCTGTTTTCAAGAGTTCTCAAGCAAATTTTGGCTGATCCACTATATTTTGATGACTTCAGAAAAGCATCCAAACTGAGGCATATCTCATAGTCAGGCTAGGACCAAACCCTGGAGAAATTTGACTGCAACAAGATGTGATTTGAGAAAGAAAAGGATGGCCAAAGATTTTCTGTGGTTTATTAGAAGCACTTAAAGGCAGACAGAACAGAGATAATAAAAACAGAGATCCTAAAATATAAGATTGACCAGTTGTTTTCCAGTTCAAGCATTCAAACATTGCTAAAATCCAGACCCCTTGCCACATAACAAGATTGCTTTGGGCAAAATTAATTTAGGAAGGGTTTGAAGATGGGGAACTGTGTACTGGGATCTCTATCCTGGACAGGATATGTTTTCATATGCAAGAGAAGAAGAATTTTTTCCATTTTACCCCAGGAAAGGGTGGACTCCTGGTTCCTGATACAATACCTATAGCACAGAAAAAGCTTTTCTAGCCATGTACTAGCAAGAGCAAAATTGAAAATCTGCACTTGGGGTTTGTATCAGTAATTCACATTTTCATTCCAATGTCAGAGCCTTTCCTTCAATAAGGTGGATATTAGCTTGTTAGGTTTTCCTTGAGTGTTAAAACCATACAAAAATTCTCATTGATTCCTCCAGAACACTTCTAGTTAAGGTCAAGTGAAGAGAAATTCATTATGGTGAGAGCTTGCGGCAGTCAGGGAAGTAATGGATTTCCCTGGAGTTGGAATGATGTCCAAGGCCTGACCAGAGAGAGATGAGCTGAGGGAAAACTACAAGTTCAGCCTATCTTTGGTCATTGTGAAGCCCTTCTAGTTTTTTGTGAGCAGTTTAGAGCCCTGGCTCTTTCTCTGCCAGCCAGAGGAAAACATGGAAATATGTTCCTTTCCCACCTCACTTCATGTCATGGGCAGACACACCGAGCCCTCCTTCAGCAGCACCTTCTGAGAGCCCAGTTCCATCAGAAAGGTCAGAGGGACGCTGCTGGAGAGGAGCTCCCAACAGCTTCAGCTCACTGCTCTCGCTGCTGCCTGGCCAGGGACACAACAAGGGCTGGCAAGAGCCTGCAGCATTCAGCTCCTCCCCAAATCCCCAAAACACCTGGCCTGCAATGTGATGTGTGCCCCGCTTTTCAGACTCCCAAGACTGCTTCCTCCCCTCACAGAAGATGCCTTCTTTCAGAGCAGAAAGGACACAGCTTCAAACAGACATCTTGCTGCATGTTCTTGGTGGAAGCAGAGCTGCCTGTTGTAGATGGTGCCTCAACAAACAGAGGGGGAAAAGCTACAAACAAATAAAAAACTGAATGCATTCATTTACCATGCTCTTCATGAAGTACTGAGTGTATCATTTGGTGTAAATCAAAGAGAAGATGAATGCGAAGTGTAATTCCAACTTCTCAGCTCAGATATAACAAACTATTTCCTGGTTCCAAATCTCAACCAGCCACCATGCAAGAAAATACATATGCATGTTAGTATTTCTTGCTTGATCAGTGTCAAGATTGCTTCCATTTTTTATTTCAAAATAAACTTAAGGAGATGCATTTTTAAAATTCACTGCCAAGCACAGATTCAGTTAGAAGATCAAACTCCCAATTGATTGCATCCTTCACGGTCACTGCAGCAAATCCAGGGTACCAGCTGTGTTCGTCACCCTCTCAGAAAGCAGACACGGTAAATTACCAGATCTTTAGTTTTATTAGCTGCACCACAGGTCCCAAAGAGACCTTGGCGCAGTTTGTTTTTCTTCCTGCTGTATATAATGCCTCTGGCTTCTGCTGTATGTACTACTTCACTCTGCATTTGAATTTCCGATTTTAAGTTCAGAAATGTGGCACTCATTCCCCCAAATGGACTTCAGAGCTCACAAAACAGGCCAGTCCTTGCACATAAATATATTGATTTTAGAAGCACACTTGTATTTAGGATGAGCACTTTGGCTTTGGAGCAGTATTCCCTGCTAATGTCTCATGACCCAAGTAGTCACAGGAATTTTTCTCAGCCGAGTATGTGGTTACTCATCACAAGGTGTAGCTGCAGATTTCACACAGCAGGACTCCTTTGTCAAAACAATCCTCTGCTGCAGAAGTCTCTTCTGTGGGAACTCCACGGGGCTCTGAGTACTCTGACACTTCAATCAAATTCTCTCAGCTCCCAACTCATTTTCAGCTCTCTGTGCTGAGCAGATTTGCTCTGGAATGGCACAAGGAGAAGGTTCCTCACTGCTCCAGCAGCTCTCATGGTCTGCTGCTCTCAATTCCCCATCAATGCACTCCATGGAAAGCAGTAAGGAGATCAGTACAGATCAAAAGCCAGCTTGGAAAATATTTCAAAGAAATAATTTGACGTTTTGCCTGAGCCTACTTGCTTTTCTTCAAATATAAAATGTATACATAAAGTGTATTCAGTGATTTGTAATCTGTGTGAAAGAGTTACTGAGAAAATGCATTTCCAGCATGAAATCAAGGTAATTCCTCAGTTTCACAAAGAATTTCATTCCTATCTGTACTTTCTTTACTCCCTCCTGTTATCAGGTCCTAAACTGGATAAACGAATTACATGTTTCTCAATTTTATTTAAAGTTACATTTAATACCATGTCAAAGTAGAGTCTGATGCCACCAGACTGCTTAAAGCCCTGGAAAATCCTCTCTCAATCCATCTAATTGAGTTTCCCTTTTCTTGTCCCTGCAGATCAGAGGTGTTTCTAGTACAGTTTTTTTACTTTGCAAACTGGTTGAAGCAGCATAAGTAATGAGAGTGCAGTTGCCAGTTCTGCTGCTTGCTACAGAGCCATGGCTGTGGACAAAAGCCACTCAAAAACAGAGACTGATTGAATTTTGTCCTGAAGACTGATTTTTTGCTTTTGATTTTTAGATACAGAAGGAACTATCTATATTAACTATATGAACTATATATATGAACTGTATATAACTCTATATATATATATGTTATTTTTACAAGGAAAAGAGAAAAGTCTTTAATCTCATAGGCATATGCAGGATTGTAGCAGAATAAGGTTAGAAACATAGATTAATACCTGGAAGATCTATTCCAACAAGTTTCTTTTGGAGAGGAGAGATTACTGGAAGTAACAGTGAGATGTTGTTTTAGTTTATTTCAACGGGAAAATGTGGAGAACAATGAAGAGGAAAGGGACCCTAACTTTGCCCATGAAAACAACGTGTATAGTTGTGTGATTTTAAAAGAAAGTAGAGTTGAGCCAAATACCAGAAGACCACATACCGTATTTTCAGGGTGAAAGTGAATAAAATTCACTTTCATTTTTCAAAGCTTTTTTTTTTAAAAATATGTTACCACAAAATAGATGAAAGTTACATCAGACACAAAGATTTTCTTGTAATCACTGGAGAAGTTTTTGTACAAGAAGACAATACAGCAACTGTTGGTTTAAGGTGGAGAAAATCCCAATGAAAATTGACCAAGAACAAGGAAATTGAGATAAAAACACCTGATTGTTTTAGAAGAAATGGCTCATTACAAATATAATTTCTGAAAACTCATTGAGTTATCAAATTGCTTCAGGGATGGCAATGGATATTTCTTTATTTGAAAACACTTTAGGCACTTGTGAGGCATAATTATTAAACAACAACCAGCACAAATTAATCTAATTATCAGGTTGTCTAGCAGCGCAGTGACACATGGAGTTCAAACGAATAAGAATTTTTTTTTTTTTCCAGATGAATTTACATGATGAGTGGCATGGTCACTTCAAAAGTAAGAGTTCTTTAAATATATATGAAGTGTGGCACTTCACCTGAAGTCACAGTTTATAACCCAAGGCTAAAAATCATATAATATTAAGTCCTTTGGCATCTTCTATCAGTATCTTGCCTTTCTTTGTTACTACTTTAGTCAAACTGGATTCTTAATGTAGTATTTCACAATAGCTGAGCAATTAGAGACAGGTAATAAAGTAGATTAATTTGGTAACAAGGATTTTTCGATTTTTAGCATTGATTATTCAGCACTATCATTAGCAAGCACTTCTTTTTCCTCACTAAAAAGATCATGCAACTCACTGTGTTAAACATAATTTTGTTCCAATTATTCAATTAATGTCTGCACATATGCAAAGATTAGAACTTCAGACTAATCAACTTTACTGTAAGATTTTCCTTTTTTCATCCATCACTTCAGCAAAATAAGAATCCATACATATCCCATGTCTTCTAAGTAAAATAAATGTATTTGAACCAGGAAAGTTAATTCAGTTACTGGAACTCAGTCTTCATTCACATTTAGTGATAAACAACATCAGAGCAAACAACTCTGTCCTTGAAGCCATTCCATATTGCCCTTCAATACTCCTATCATCCTTCAGACACAGCCCAGAGCCTCTAGAACCAACAAAGGCAAATATGTGCAGGTGGGATCACTCCTTACCTGAGTGAGCACAATCTCCTGGAGCATTCAGGGTGTTTATTACACACACAGGGTGTTTACATTCAGGGTGTTTATTACACACACAGGGTGTTTATTGCACATTCAGGGTGTTTATTACACACACAGGGTGTTTATTACACACACAGGGTGTTTATTACACACACAGGATGTTTATTACACATTCAGGGTGTTTATTACACACACAGGGTGTTTATTACACATTCAGGGTGTTTATTACACACACAGGGTGTTTATTACACACACAGGGTGTTTATTACACATTCAGGGTGTTTATTACACACACAGGGTGTTTATTGCACATACAGGATGTTTATTACACATTCAGGGTGCTTATTGCACATTCAGGGTGTTTATTACACACACAGGATGTTTATTACACATTCAGGGTGTTTGTTACACACACAGGGTGTTTATTACACATTCAGGGTGTTTATTGCACATTCAGGGTGTTTATTGCACACACAGGGTGTTTGTTACACACACAGGGTGTTTGTTACACACACAAGGTGTTTGTTACACACACAGGCTGTTTGTTACACACCACAGCAGTCTATTATACATTCAGGGTGTTTGTTACACACACAAAGCGTGTTTATTACACACACAGGGTGTTTGTTACACACACAGAGTGTTTATTGCACACACAGGCTGTTTGTTACACATTCAGGGTGTTTATTACACACACAAGGTGTTTGTTACACACACAGGCTGTTTGTTACACACCACAGCAGCCCCTTGCTCAGTGGCTGTAGGGAGAGCCACACAGCAAGGAGCAGGAATGGACAAATACTTGAGACCACCTGCAGATCTTGGAAGATCAAAGCTCATCCAGGCTTGCTTCACCAAGGCTGTCTGTCACTCCTCACCTTCCAGAGGCAGATGATTCAGACTTGCATTTTAGTATCATTTATTAAGAATTTGTTTTATGGTTCAAACACATGTCTACTTAAAATCTGAAGACAGGAGAGCTTGCCCTAAAATCTAGGTTTTTTTCCCTTGATGAGAAACAGTGCAAAAGTCAGGGTATCCTCTTTGAAAAGATGAAATTAACCACATTCACATTCCACAAACTGATACTGAAAGCCTTTAATTTGAAGTTCTCCTTAAGAAATTATCCTTTTCTGATAGTGGAAGCCCATTTGTGAGTAAATAACTCTTTTCCAGTTTCTCCTGTAGAACTCAAGCATTAACAGTTCTTGAGCATATCTTTTATATAATGAGTATGTACATTTTGTTTGTGTAAGTTCTACACTTACTTTCATGAACACAGATGAGGTAAAATGAGATTGAGAAACAAATGAAAGATGGAGAAAAGAAGCTATTGGTACAAAGCCTCCACGCAGCCTTCATTTCCTTTTAATTTTCTGTGGGTACAATAGCTGCATCCTCTGTTTGTGTTTTTTTCTGCTTTCCACTCCCACTTTATCACATTCTGCACAATAATGTCAGAGTTTCTGTCTTAACTGTGCTCTGAGACAGCTGACAGCATGGCAAGTAAATTCCAAAATGGAATGGGTTTGAATATTGGAACATGAGATGATTTTGAAAGAAAGAAATAGGATTAATTTTCTTCTCCCTTCTGACCATTGTTTGTTTTTCACTGCCAGCCTTGGGGTGAGGCTTCAGAATGGAAAATCCCCAGTTCATGTGATGATCCATTTTTCCACTCTTTCCCTTGTTTGTCAGAGCCCTGAGTGTTTTGCAGCATTATGTCTCTTTTATTTAAGATCTAGGATGCTCTTAAGTAAGACAGATAGTCTGTTTTCAATGCTGTGGCATGTGCCTGTTTATGAATAATGAGTATGACAGACAGACTGATTAATAGGCATTTTCTATGTGGGAAGAGGCTGGAAAGGAGGACATTGTGTGGAATAATTATTAATGAAGTACAGTCAGCACCATGCAATGGATAAGGACTGTGCAGGGAAGAAAGGGGAGTACATAAAGGGAAAACAGCCCAAAATCTCCAGAAAGACTGGAAAGTAGGTGGTCAAGGAGAACAGCACAAAAGAGGAATAGTATGAATGGAAGGCAGTGAAAAGTGAGCCAGAGTCACATAAACTTAATTCATGAGCACAAAGAGCCTCTCTTTGATTCTATCATGCAGGTAAATGACAAAGATGATCACAGCAGTACCTCACTGGCAAAATTGTAATTTATACTTTATCCTGACTGAATTAATGAGCACACAGAGTCAGCATCAGTAGAGCCACAGCCTGAGTCTCATACTTAAATCTGCCACTCAAACACTAAATCACAGTTCTCAGATTAAAGATCTGCCAAAGTGAGCACCTGCTGGCATTTCCCCACTGCCAGTATCAGCATCTCACAGCACCTGCCAAAAAGTGCCAGGCTGAGCTACTCTGTCTCAGACAGACCATACAGCAACTCAAATAACTGCAGCTAGAGAACAGATATCTGCAGCTTACCAGCAGCAACCCTTCCTATCGATTTAGCCATTCCTGACAAAGAAAATGTAAGCATTTTTCAGGATTCAAAATAACCCTAAAGCAGGTTTGCATCACCTGACACTTGTTTTTACATGTTTAAAAACCAGAACGTGCAGTAGTTCATCTCTAGTGACAAACAGTTGTCATGGCTGTGTTTTAGCCATTCATTAATAGCTTCTAAAATGAGAGGAGAGGAGAATGAATATGTTAAAACAAGTTTGGGAGTAATTCTAACAGAGGGAGCAAGAAAATAATTGAAACATACCTATCTACATTCACAAAAGAAGCAGTGTCACCTCTATAGCTTGTACAGTGGTCCTCCAGCAAAGCAAGTAAACAAAAATTTGTTTATAATTAAAACAAGTAAGATCTGCTTTTATTTTTCCCATTAGTTTCCTACTAATTATTTCCCATTGTATCTTTTCAGAAGTAGAAGAAATAACTTTGGTATATTTTTATTTTAAAAATGAGAAGTTGTTCTGTATGTCCATGTCCATGGACAACCATCCATGGCTAATATTGTTCATCACTGATCTTTATTAACCAGTAGTATTTTCACCCTCTAAAAGAGGTTGTCAATTAATCTGAAAATAGGGTTATGCAATAGCCTAATTTTTAACAATTTTCTCTTTTTTTCTCCTGAAATAATAACTTTTCTGTGAATCCCCTGTGAATGCCCACTGTGTCAAGCAGAGACTCAGTACCAGCATAAGACCTTCAGTTCCTATTCCCAGTCACAGAGAATTTTAAAGTCCCTTCTCTATTGTTATCTCATAGGAAAATAGCAGATCTTTTTCCCCTGTTACCCCACTTAGCCATGAAAAATGAGTATATTGGAAATCCTGCTTTACTGTGTTTTTTTCTCAAACCCTCCTCTTCCTCACTGAAGGTACAATGGAGAAATATTGTAATTGTGGCTAATTGTGCTGTGACCAAGAGACCCCCAGAGCTCTGTGAGGGGCTCTGAGCCCCCGGCAGCCTGGGCCAGCACAGGGTCAGTCAGCAGTGCCAGGACTGCGGGGACACTCGGGCCACAGCTGCTGAAAGGCCATCTTTTTATTTAAAATGCATGAATACCTGGAAAGAACCTGTAAGCATGTTTACTCAGTTTAACATCTGGATCATAAATAAAAAATATCTGGAGAATGGGATTTCTTTGGGGAGCAGGGAGCTAAGTGCCTTGCCACTAACCTATTTTAGCATTTCTCTTTTGGCTGCAATTTCCATTTGGGTATCAGCAACCTTCACTCTTTTCGTGTTGAGACAATTTCAGTGCCCAGTGCAGTTTGATCCTTTTAGATCTGATTTGTACTGGTTTGAACTGTCTTTGTCTGGTTGGATGCAGTTGGATCTGCTTTGAACTGGTTTGCTCTGGTTTTATCCAGTTTGGTCCAGGTGGAATATGTTCCCTGTGCATCAATCCTCACTCTAAGGGGATCTGCAGAGCTCAGCTGGAAAGAGCTGCAGTGGATTTTACCCTTCTGTTTTCCAAGTTATTTGTTGTTCTGCTTACACTGCTCATAGGTTTTTCTGTTCCATTTCCTCTTGGTCCCCATGCCCAAACTCTAGGATTATTTTATTGAATTCAATGAATACCCGCCTCAGTGATATGTGGAGCCAGGCAAAAACCTCATTTGCAGGATGTAATTTCTGTTTCCAGTGCCCAGTCCTGTCAATCTGCTGGTCTCAGGCTTCCACAAAATTGTGTATCATCACAGATACATTTTTCATGCTATCCTGTCTAATCAGTGTGAAAGGAAAAAGAATTTTATTTCATCTACAGTGGTTCAGTATTAAATAAAAAGTTTGTTAAACCTCACTGAGATTCAGCAGGCACAGATAAGACAAAGCTTTAATTAATTTTTCAGCATCAAGTCTTTCTGCATCAGATTTATTTTAACCCTTTACCAGGAAACAACAAAGGCAGAGGATCAAGGAGGCCACAATGCAGTGACAGGCCCTACGAGTAGGTGAAATATGAAAGGAGCAAAGGAAAATATTTTCCCTCCTTCCTTTCTAGCCCTCCTCCAGACCAAGCTGCTTGGTTCTTTGCACAGTAAAGGATGATCTTCCTGAAAAATATCTCACATTCAGCCCCAGTTCCTTGTGAAGACCTTTCCTTCCCTAGGTAAGGACCTTCCCTCCTGCAATGCAGAACACTGTTAATCTGATTTTTGGAAGATGCTCTGATATAGACAATTACAGGTCAAGTTTTCTTTGTTGGATACAGAAATTTGTCAACTTTAGAGTAGTGTGAAGAAGGCCCATGTCACCCCAGAGTGCTTCCTGGAGGTCCAGAGTTGGAATGGAAGAGGAATAAAATGGCATCCACAGAGACCCATAAAATGCTCACTCCTCAAGTCATTCCCCAGCTGCTGAATGAGCTGTTTCAGCACATGAGGCTCGAGTGCTTGTGAGCTGGGTATGAACAGAACCTGCTCCTGTTTCTGCCCACTTTGGATCACTCCTTTCATCCTCTTTTTCTTTTTTGCCATACATTTCATCATGTATATAAAGTGAAACAATTACTTTTGGTTGTTTAAAGGGCAAAAAGCTGGAAACCCCATTGATTTGGTGCTGTTTTAGTTTATTTGTAAGAACAAATTCCTGTCTGTG